TCAACCCTATGAAAATATTGGGGTCATAAGAACTTGGGTGTTTGATCAAGAAGCTATTAGGAGAGCTCTAGGTGAAATGCTAATCATGGATGAGCTTCCTTTTAGATTCGTAGACATACAAGGTTTTACAAAGTTTGTTATTGCAGCCTGTCCTAGATTTCAAATTTCTTCTAGATGGAAATTTCTAGAGGCATCTATCAAATATACCTTGATGAAAGACTGACTCTGAAAACGATGTTTATGGAACACACTCAGAGAGTTAGTATAACTACTGACACATGGACCTCTATTCAGAGGATAAATTACATGTGTATTATTGCTCATTTCATAGATGATTAGTGGAAGCTATGGAAAAAGATGATTTCATTTGCCCCTGTCACTTTTCACAAAGGGGAGTATCTTGCTAAAGCCCTAGAGAATTGATTGCTTGAGTGGGGTCTGAACATTATTTTTACTGTGATTGTTGATAATGTTAGTAGTAATGATATTGTTGTTGGTTTTTTCAAGAAAAAATTAATATATTGAGGTGCTTCTTCTCTTAGAGTAAAATATGTTCATATGTGTTGCATTGCAAACATCTTTAACTCAACAGTCCAAGATGGTCTTAAAGATGCAGACACTTTTCTCATGAGAATTACAAAAGTTGTTAAGTATGTTAGGAACTCAACTGCTATGTTTCAAAAGTTCAAAGACACTTCTAACTTGATAGGAGTGGAAGCTAAGAGTGGTATACACCTACATGTTCCAACTTGGTGGAATTCCACTTACATGATGCTTAAATCTGCTATTTTTAATGGGAAAATGTTTGAAGACTATGAGGAGAATAAAAGTGCATTTGGTACTGATTTGGATACTGACATTCCTGATGTTTTAGATTGGATTGCAGTTGAAACTTTTGTCACCATTCTAAAAAGAATTATGAAATGACATTGAGAATTTTATGCTCACTCTATGTTACTGCCAATACCTTTTTTTAATATCTGACTTGTTCCTTGTCCTTAAAGATATAGTTGTCTCTCCACTGATTCTGTCAGTGCAATGAGGACTACTATGAAATCAAAATTGGACAAGTACCGGGGTGATCCTAAGAAGATGAACTCACTGATCTTCTTTGTAAATGTGTTTGAGTATATGTCATATCAACTGAATGCTTTATATGGTGACAAAAAAGGTGCCTTGTCTTCTTTTTGTCAAAGTGAAGTCTGATCTGACTGAGTAATATTTTGATTATGTTTTTCAATATACTCTGACTGTGTTGGTGGAATTTCTATTTCAAGTTTACATTCTGGTACATCTGTGGAGAGTGATAAGGCTGAGAACATGTCAGTGTCAAGATTTAAGGTTGAGCTAAAAAAAAGAAACTAGAGAGTAGCCAGTTAGGAGTTAAAGAAACAAAAATTGATATATATCTTGAAGAGTCAATAATTGAGGAAGATAAGGACTTTGATATATTGAGATGGTAAAAGTTAAATAGTGAAAGGTTTCTGATTCTTTTTAAGATGGCTAGGGATGTACTTGGTATTTTCATTTCCATAGTTGCTTCTGAATCAACATTTAGTACGTGCGGTAATTTTTTGGACCGTTTTAGGAGTTCATTAAGTGCAAAAGTTGTGGAAGTCCTTATTTGTGCACAAAATTGATTGAGAATGGCTAATCAGTCTATTTCAGTTGAAGAACACATTGATGAAGTAGAGAGGTTGGAAACGGTATACATGTGTAGGGTTTAATGTTGGGAGAATTTGACTTTGCACCCCATGTTTTGGTTAATATTGGACTTTGCATCCCATTTTCAAAATCATTAATATTTGCACCCTATTTCACTATATACTCATTTGACTTTGCACCCCACTCCTTCACAATTTTTGAGCTAATGGGGTGCAAATATTAATGATTTTGAATATGGGGTGCAAAGTCTAATATGACCTAAAACATGGGGTGCAAAGTCAAATTGGTAGAATTAATAATTTAAAATGTAAAGTTCTATTTTTTTAATTCTAACAAGTATTGTCTTTGTTATTTATAGAATTAATATATGGAAGTATTGGTAGTGCTCCTACTGGATCCTATATTGTGTAATTAAGTGTACACTTTCTGTTTAAATTCTTATTTCTTACATTATATATTCTAATTTCCAACCTATTAACTGTGTTGTTGTTGTTATACTGAAATTGTGACTCTGCGAGTACAATGTTGTGATACATTGATGCTGGAAAGCATGCACATGTTGAAATTAAGATTCCGGTGCCCCACTTGCCATTGGCCCCTGATCTGATTTTCGCTTGGAAAACAACCAAGCATGCATGATAAAAACAGTTTATTAATACGGTTCATACATATGAACATACATTGGCAATGATGAATGTTTCGAGGTTTTGAGTTATTATCTCTTGACTTCAAGAGGGTTGTGTTGGTGTTCATCTTCTTTGGATTGTATGCCCTTATCCTTTGTGAGATCATGTGTAAGATGACATGAAATCAGTCTCAGCTTAAATGTGTTTAAATTCATTCAAACTGTCATAACTTAAAATTTAACAGTTTATGAGTTTTTACTTATACAGTTTACTTAAACAAGATGAAATGTGTTAATTTTGATGCTCCGGTGTCCAAAGTCTTTACTGTGAAGCATGAAGTATTGAAGAAGACATCATCTAATAGTGGTATGTTGGTACCAATCTTCAACCTCGTATTCAAAAACAGTTTATATGAAATACGATTCCATAATCATATTCACTTTCTGATCAATGACCACATTATTCAGATATCACTTAAACTAGCCATGATGAAGCTTCCACTCATTACAGAATATAAAGTTTAGGGTTGGTATTGTTCTTTCGGTTCATAACTTATAACTGAAATTGTAGCAGATGTCCCTATCCTTTATGAATGATAATAAGCATTCTTAGCATTATTCACATATCACTATGATATCACTTAAAGTTGTCATGGTGAAGCTTCCACTCATTACCAAGTATAAAGTTTAGGGTTGATATTGTTCTTTCACTTCATAAGTTATAACTGAGATGTTTCACCTATAGTCATATTGGTCCTTTTAATTATATGAAGTATTGTGTGTCTGATATACTCCAATTCTTTTGCAGAATTTGATACTCTTTTATGTCTTTAATGCATGTAATCGACTATTGGCAATTTCAAGCTGGGAACTTCTAATTTGGTCCATTTTGAATTTTAATACTTAAATGTCAGCTTGTGAATTGCAATATTTTTTATGCAGTTTACAAGTCTTTTGAACTATGTAAAGTGTACTTCACAATTCGTACACAAGTAATTGTATTTTTTGTAATGTTCATCTGTAATTTGTAATTTTTTTTGAACAAACTGTAATCTCAAATCTTTAAATTTTCTAAACTATTTAAAGGCCAATCTGAGATTTAAATCTGACAACGCATTTCATTTAATATCACACAGTTTTTTTGAACAAACTGTAATCAACAAGTTTTTTGAAGTATTTAAACCCGATTGAACCCGAAATCAAATATGAACTTGATCCCCATCTGAAATTATTATAAAGCGACATTTTTACTTTAAATACACATGGGATCAAATACGGGAAGTTCTATTCACAACCACCTTTTTACTAAATACAACCACATATTTTTTATTCTTCCAAATATGACCTTTGTGTCAACCGGCGGCCCTTAGATCAAGTGAGCCGATGATCAATCGGTTACCAATTCTCAACTGGCTGCCCTCAACTTCATTCCAGCTGCATGCAGACTTCAGCACCCCCTCTCTGAGCCATCAATTCTCTCTTCTTCCTTCTTCATCCATCTTCGCATTGATGCATAGGGCTTCTCCGTCCGTCAATTTTATCAACAACGTACATATCCACAGTAACTCAATAAGTAATTAAGGTGATTGTTCATCTTTCCCTTGTTCAAGATTTTAGTGGCAGTCTCTTTTAATTGAACTTAGTTATTAATAAGCTGGCAAGTTTTTTTTGCAGCGACGTGGAGTCATTTGGAGTCGCCGTCGGGGAATCCCTTTCCTCGACACACCGTCTTGTAGCAATTGTCACCAAGACATGCCCCCTTGGAGTTGGTGCTTCCAGTCTCACACATTCGGCCTTCGGCCGCAATTTCCCATCCGCTTCTCATCTGGCAGTCATGAACATCACAAAGAAGAAGATAGCAGCGCCAGAACGAAGGAAGCCATTTTTTGTGGTTGAGAAATTTATGAAGCTTCCTTGGTAGAGTGCCGGTGTATTTCGGTGGCCAAGACATACGAAGTGTCGAAGTGTATATACTCATTGGCAGAATCAATGAAATCTTTGCAACCAGAATTTAGCCGGATATTTCATTGAGCGAGAAGGGTTAAGACGTTGCGCTAGATGTAATTTGCATATTATTAAGGACATAATCGGAAGAATTGAAAATATGAGGCTGTATTTAGTAAAAGGGTGTCTGTGAATAGAATTCCCCGTCAGATACCCATACTGCCCATCCAAAGCCCAATAGAGTCTTGTGTTCCCTAACCCGATTGACTCGAACCCGCCCGATGCTCTCCACTAACTCTGTCCAAGGATGTTTGCATAAATTGCATGTATAATAGACATTTGTATTTTTCAAAATGTACTATTGTACAAAAACATCAATTACAAATATGTCACTTCTAATGCATTCATTAACAATTATTTTATTTATTTATCTATAATTTGTCTTGTGAATGAGGCTTGGATGTTGTTGTATCCATAATTTGTCCTATAAAGTATACTACAGATGGTCTAATTTGATCTGATAAACGTCTGATCTCTATATATCTTATAACTACAAAAGTCTGGTCTGATATGAGACTGAAAACAATCAAAAAGAAAACATCCTAGATCTTAAAATATTACGGAGTACAAATACTTATATACAAACACAATCGGTAATATGCACCTAATTTGAAAATAATCGCTTATTATTTGTAAATGTCCCCAGTTGGAGGTGCTATTTCAATTTATATACGTAGTATTATCTTCATGTCTTATCGAACAGTGTGAACGCTTTTTCTAATATAAAGCAAGAAAAAATACCATAAATCTGTTAACGCACATACAAAAACATTTCGCAATCAGCTAACAAAGTTGTGCTTATTACGTGATTTAGAAACAAAAAGCAATCATCATTCTTCAAAAATGTTCAAAAATGAAAGATACAAATACATAACAGATACTTTGAGAATCCCATCACACAAACACAAAAATACAAATATTAGGAGCTAGCACTACAAGAAAACACATAGAATATATATAGTTCTCGTTGAACACACCACAGGTAAAATCAACCACTTAGCACTTAACCTCCTTCAGACCATAGGGAAGGTAGAGGAATGTAGGGTCAGTGGCACCCTCCTTGTAGTAAGCGAACACAAGACTGCCATCATCTGTACCGCTCTCGCCGGAAAAACTACATAAAAATAGAGCAGAACATGAAGTGTTTATAAAGCTGTGTATAACAAGCATCAGGAAGCACAGTATACTGTGCAAGATAGGTCCCTTACAATTGCAAATCCTTAAGCTTTCCAAGCAGGTACTTGGTTGCTGGCTCAATTTTCTTTTTGAACTCCTCTAGTTCAGTTCCAGTCAACTTACCCGATATTGCTTTAATGTATTTCTTCATATATACAACAAAGTTCTTCTTATCATAGGTGGCTTGTTCCTACAATGAGTAAAATTTTACGTCAGATAGGTGTGGCATTTTCATGGAAACCCCATAAATGGAAAAGCAAAATAAGACTATCTGTACCTGGAGTCTAAATGTGTCAACGATGTCAACAACCTTAGTGGCAGTGTCATTCACACCCTCATCCTCTTCGCCACCTTCTGCAGATGGATTTGCTCCAATATCTACCTCAACAGCTCCTTGAACAACCCACTGTAATTTAATGTGAGAGAATGTCAGCACATCAACCATATTGGGAAATGGATTATTTAATTACAACATTTACAAGTGAGGACAAGACAACCAGTCACCTTTCCCTCAACTTCCCATAGCAGTCCTTCCTCAATTTCCTTGTAAGGAAATGAATCAGAGAGAAGTTCATCATCTAGCAAAGTGAACAGTTTTACATATTAATACAATTGAAAAAACTCAATTTCAATTTGATCCATCCAATGCAGGAAAATCCAAATGCTATAAGTTTTGCCCTAGAACAGTAGCTACATCACTACAATTCTAACACCTACAACACATTAAACCACATGTACTAACACACTATCTTTTGCAAAGAGGGATTTCAGTCCAGGACATCATGGAACCTAAAGCTCATATATACTGTGAATCACACACGTTAAATTAATAGAATATCCAAATAGAAGAGTTCCATCCCAAAAAGGTACAATTTCTTAAATCATGAACTGCACGCTAATTTACAAGTAATCTGCCAATAAAAGCAACGAACTTACTAAATGTGTCAGTTTAATTAAACATGCGTGTTCCTATACTTCAACAACATAAGCTACAAATTTGTTCAATGTGATAACTCCAATTAAACCAACAAAAAAGAAGCAGATTTTAATGATTATTGTTCTTGAAAAGGAAGGAGCAAAAGGACAAGCGCCTTGTGACATTCAAGAGGGCAATAATTATTCTTATAAAACCGGTTGAACTAAAAGATATTCTCAGAAAAATAAATTGTTTCTTAAATAAACATGAATTTTATTGTGAAATTTCACAAGCATGGTAACAACTTGAAATCCCAAAACAAGGTGTTTTCTGGTATAATCATTTTTGGCACTAATATGGCACTAATGATATATTTAGCATTATTTTCTAAAAAATATATAATACCCTTAGTTTGGGATTTCAAATTGTCTTCACAATTCGACTATTTAGGGAAATTTCTGGGAGCTTATTTCAAGTGGGTTTTACACATTTTCCACATTCGTGAACAAATAAAGCAGAGGAGAATGCAGACATGAAAAGAGAAGGCCCCGCTTTAATGAAATTCACCCATAAACAAATCAGATCTAAAGGATTTATCGAATACCACCATGAATGGAGTTGATAGATCTAAAAACTACATTACCTAACAATTCACAAAAACAGAGTTTCGATTAAACAAATCAGACAAAACACATATCGACATGTTTACCAGTAAAATAAAACAAAACGTGCTAGAAAGGATAGATTAAGATTACTAGTCAAAATATCCTGATAGATCAACATGGCGCTCCTTGCAAGGGCTCTCTGGGATGGTGTAAACGGATGTTGAAGCAGAGAGACGCGCCGAGAGGGATTGGATTGTGCTATCAGAGCGAGGATATATAGGGTGAGGGTTTGTGGAAGAGGTTGATTACGAATAAAGTTCCGAATTACGAATTTAGGTCTTAGATTCTTTTTTTGGGCCAAGAATGTCCGGATGAATGTGTTTATTTGAACCGTTTTGAGTTCCACGCAAAACGAGATTTAAACCGACCAAATCAGGTTAGATTATACACCAGACCAGATTTCTATAATTATAAAATACACAGAGACCAAACATTTATCAAATTAAACAAATCAATTCAAGTCAGATAAAACTTAAACAGATCAGATCAACAAATTTCAATCCAAGTAAAAACATTCATAGAGTATTACCTCGGCCCAACACTCGTTTCCCATCATTTGTCTCTTTAAATTCTTTTCAATTTTTTACATCATGCATCTAACATTTATTAAATTTGAGTTTTATTTGGTGATTTTATATAAAAAAAATTAATTTAATTTCTAAACATGTAAATTTTATTTATTAAAAATAATTTAATTATTAACATGGATCAGATAATTTTATGTTCTGTCAAACATCATAAATCGAAACATGAATCTTTACCTGACACGAAGGAAGTATTCATTTTTTCTTGGTTTAGTTTGAAACCATATTTAATCCAATCTAAATAAATTAAATCCAGTTTGAAAATCAATGTATAATTAAACACATCTTTAATTCATGGTTTCAATATTGAAGATGCTAATAATTATAATCTATGCTTGGTTAAAGGATCATATTGTAAAATGACACAGTTATTTTAAATAATTATTAATGAAGAAATGAGCGAGCATATCCCTCAAATATATGCGGAGGTGCACATATATCTTGAACTTCTAATAGGTGCAGAAATATTCCTTATATTCCTATAAAGGATCAAATTTACCCTTATTGAATTTAAATAAATAAGATAAATTTTATAAATAAACAAAAATATATTAAAATTTTAAAATTCAAAATTGAAAAAAAATTAAAAACGTACTTGTGTCCAATTCCTTCTATTATAATTTTTATATTAGAATTTCATATTATTAGTATAAAAAATTGTTTCAAAATTAGTAACTATATATTTATGATTCTTTTGAAAAGTGTTAACATATGCGTTGCAATGAAAAAAAAATCATTATTTATTTGTATTCTTTGCACTATAAAATTACATATTTTGTATGTTGATGACTAGTCCAAGCTTGCAAAATACCAAATTTACTTTTATTAAGTTTAAAAAAATCAAAGATGCTATTTAAAAAATGTAACCATGTGTTTGAAATTTTGCAGTAGGACTAAAATTAATGTTTATGAATTTGAAGTGCTTCATATACAAGGCAAAAAAAAAAACTTACAATTTAAAATTAAAGATTTAAAATTTTATTATGTTTCAATTTTGAAATTTAAATTTATAGTTTATTTTCTATTTTATTTTATTTTATTTTATATTATATATTTAAAGTCAATAAAGGTAAATTTGCTCCTTCATAGGAACATTAAGGGTATTTTTGCACTTTTTAGAAGTTCAGGGGTATATCTGCACCTCCACATATACCTCATAGATATATTTACACTTTTTCCAAATAATTAAAGAAGAGAATTTGTATGTATTTTGAGAAATAGTTTTGTTGGGTATATAATATACTCCCTTCGTCCCCATATAATTGTCCCATTTTCCTATTTTTGGATGTCCCCCTATTATTTTCTCATACCATATTTGGTAACATTTGTGTGGTTCTAATTCATTCTTACTTTATTCCCACTTTATCAACTCATTATCAACCACAAAACTCTACTTTTCTAAAAAACCACATCACTCTCTTCTGTCCCAATATTAGGGGGACGGAGGTAGTAATAGGCTAAATTAATGATTGAGGGGCGAGTATTTTAGTACTACATCTGTCCCATTTTAGTCAGCTATCTTTGACTTTTCCAGTCAAAGTTGATAGGCGTTGACCAATTATTTTAACTAATACGGAGTATGTTTATACAAAATTTAATAATTTTAAACTTTTATGATAGTATTTTTAACAAAGAAAATTTTCGTATCATTTTTATATTATCAATACTTCTGTATATAAATATATAATCAGTCAAAGTTAGATACTATTGACTTAAGAAATCAAGTTTTGCTAACTAAAATGGGATGAAGGGAGTACAAATCTCCACATAAATAAAAGAGAGTGGAGATAGTTTTGGGTTGAAATGCAAGCGGGAAGTAGTGCAGAATTAAAGTGGGCTCTTACTGGTTGAAAGTGGCGGCACCGAATAGCAAAGCCGAAATCGGGCACATAAAACAAAAGTTACAAAGACGGTAATTACCCATCTGTGCTTTCAAAAAAGATATCTTAAGATTTACTTCTTCATGATTCATTCAAGTTGGTATCTGCTTATGTTGAATTTGTTATTCCTCTAAGTTGGTATCTAAATATCTCTTGTGGACAATCTTTAGTCTTTACTATTCAGGATCCTAACAATACTTTAGTTGGTGAATGATTGAATTTGTGCATAATCAGTTATATCTTGATTTATTATTGTGTTACTTTTGTTTATCTAGAAGTCTTGATTTAGGCATTATTATATTTGAGGTTAGTAATTTTTTTTTCAACTATTTTAATTTATCTGTTAATTCGTGGAACTTTTTAAAATTTGCAATTATCTGGTACAATAATGATTAGTAATTCCGATTTAAAATATAATTTTAAAACTTCCATGGAATAACTTTTATTATGAAAGAATACTTTGATTCTTCTATTTTTCCAAATAGTTGAAAACTTGAAATCCATCTTCTAATCTGCTATCAAATTGCGCACTGACATTGATAAATTTGACCGATATGATATTAAGTGTTTGTACATCATTGTTGTGCACTCTTGCATTATTATAGATCATTGCTCTCGTTCATTACAGTTTGTTTTTGAGTTACAACATGATCTACTACACACATAAAATTTATGCTTTAATTTAAAACTCTTTGTATAGTAGTGATTTGTTTGGTTCTTCTAGATATGTGTTCAAGTAAAGTAGACTAACATTACATTGAAGATCTTGACAACTTTAAAGAAAGCATTAAATTCTAAAGTGCGCCCTCACATGACAAACATCTTTAGGGATGATATTAGAGTTAATAATGGAAATGTTTGTAAATTATGGTATAAAGAAATGCTTAATTCAGGGTTTTGTGACACAATGTGCCACAATTTATGGAGGATATTAACTTCTTGATAGACTTTAAAATTAATGACGATTTAGTCTCATAATTTATGTGTGTGTTTGTTACTGATCTCATATCTTTAGCCATTTACAAATGATCTATATTACAGATGCGCTTGCTTGTGCTCTAGACTGCCATAAAGAATACCACAACCATTATGAATGGTGACATGTGCTGCCAACAGTGCTTTTTGCGGCGAGTTAGGGCAGATTACTTAGTGATCAAAATTATTAGTTACATTACATGATATCAGTGATATTACAATACTCAAACGACACATGTATAACTACTAGTGCACAAAATCAATAAATAAATTATACTTATTACTTAAGTGAGTAAGTCTTACAGACTTACAATTCTTATTAAAAGTTCAGGCGGTTACACCAAATATGTTCTATTTACTCAAAAATGCTACATTACAAAAAACAGACTAAATATTTGATTTGATCATATCTTGTTGTATGTTCTTCCATTTCAAGCGTTTTATACCTCGTCGGAAAGAACATTTTGAGTTATATTTCCCATGTTTAGACTTCATTTGTTATGTATTAAAGAGTAGATATAGATTAACTTATGTAATATATGATTTGATCATATCTTGTTGTATTGTGATCCATTCCAAGCATTTTATAGCTCGTTGGAAAGTTCTTATAAAGTTCTAAGACTATTATTCAAACTTGTTTACAAAACATTAGGGGATAATTACGTACTACTCAGAAATTTAAAATGGTTGTCGCGTTGATGACGACTTGCCCATATACTTATGTGTTCTTTTGCTTTTGAAGTGTTTCATATCTCGTATTCAGACTTATGTTTTTTAATGATGATATCCCATCCCTGAGACCCCCCAGAACTGACCAGACAGTTATCTGGGAGGATGTAAATTGAGCTTTAATTTCACACTAATGGAAAGAGAGTGAGACTTCATACCAAGTCTTTGTTTGGAATTGAACTCGAGATCTCCCCTAGTGGCACTCTCTATCAGGTGAGCTACGACTGCGGTTAATAACTCATGTTTTTAAAATATTAGGCATGGGTGCATGATCATTACTACATCAAAAGTTTAATAATTATAGAGAACTGCATTCGTCCAATAATAATCTTCTTACTTTAAATTGACACACCTAGAAACGGAAGAGCTGAATTTGCCCCCCAGTGCGTCCCTAGTAGCTAATTAATCAGTGACACATGCAATTTGCCTAATTAATTACTAGAAAAGTCTAATTAACGGCGTGAAGCTTTGAGCATTTTGGTTTCTTCACGATCATTACAGAACAATTGGCATGGTGAGAGCAGTAGTCACTCACACTCCCAAGAACCGCCCTGCAAATTAAATGACAAATCATATCATTATTAATTAATCTATGCAAATAACTACTTTATCACATCAATTACCTGTTCGTCTAATCTATACAATAAAACCGAAATCAGATTTTGTGTGGGTGTGCAACTAGAATGTACATTTCTGAAACGTATATAAAATAACATTCTAATGGCTTGATTGGTTTCTGCAACTATTAAATGAATCAAAATAGCACCATAACCATACATAAATGTTTCAACTTGCAATTTCGTTCAAACTTGTGGCAAAAAATCAATGTGTAGAGTCAGCCTACAACGATGACATGGACAAAAGGAAGGGAAAGTAGACTTTATGCATAAAATTTCGGCCGCCACATATGATATTTTTGTCGAATATTTAAATGAAATTGCAAGTTGAAACATTCATGTATAATTATGGTACTGATTTAATTCATTAAAGAGTCCAGGTACCAAAACGCAACAATACCAATAGTTAAGGTACAATTTATACGTTTCATGTATTATCTTTCACACCATACTTTTGGACTACCCGACGAAAGAAGAAAGACATGAGGAAGTTTCGATCCCATTTTATCTTATGTTATGATTAATATTTGATTTTGCAATCCATTTTTAAAATCATTTTTTAACTTAATCCGATTCATTTTCAACCGATTCCATCAATTTCAGTGCCTACTAAACGGGTTCTTGAATTTGATGTAAAAGAAAGAAACGAGGTACCTTTTGAAAGTTCCATAGCCATGGCTACCCAAGACCAAGAGAGTTGCATGGTGCTTGTCAACAACATCACATGCGACATTCCTGGCATCACCATCTTGAACTTGGAATTCCACCTCCTTCACTCCTTTATTGCTGCATACTTCTTTGGCTTTCTCCATTACTTTTGTGGCTGTCCTCTTCACATCACTCTCCACCGCTTCTACCACATCACTTGCTCCTTCAATTCACAACCGACCCCATCACACCCTATATGTGAGTGAGTTCATACTTTTCTTTTTAAACAAACAATGTTAGACAACTTACCATATATAGCTAACCGTAATACAAAGTATACAATATTGGATCATTCTTGGTGTACACGTAAGTTGTACACACTTTGGGGGCGTTTGGTAATTTGCACATTAAAACTTTGCATGCAAACTAATTGCATGTAAAGTGTAGGGATGCAATCATTTTACATGTAAAATATAAATACATTGTTTGGTGAGATAGACAATCTACATTTAGAATACATGAAAAATAAATGCACTGTTTGGCTCAAAATAGAAGTTCACCCGTAAAGCTCCAAGTAAAAATTAGCATTACTCTTTTAACATGCCTTCGTATGCTAATGAAGTCAAGAAAATAGTATTGGCAAAACAAATTATTGATAATTGATATAGAGACTGGTTAATGGTAAATTGACTGCCCCGTAATGTACAATCTGAAGAATTATTTTTCAATGATGTTCTACCAATAATCTGCAATTACTTTACAATTGATAAAAATAATCAACAAAACTCATAACTTTTAATTAAAAAAAAGCCCAAAATTCGAAATTAGTGGTGTAATACCTAATCTCTAAACAACTCCCTCAACCTAGTTGAATATAGAAGAACGGCTGGTGCTGCTCTTGGGAAGAGCTGGTGTCTGCCTGTCTGGTGGGGATGAGTCATGCCGGCAAGGTCTGACGTGAAAAAACGGAGTAGCATTGTAAAGTATTTTACCACCCTCCCCCACGTAAAGTATTTTACATAGTACAATGTAAAATGTTTTAAAATAGTACCCTACAGTTTACATTAAATAATCGTACCAAACGATGTAAATAGTTTGCATCCCTACACTTTACATGTAAAATGATTACTTTACATATTAACAAACCCCCCCTTTGTGTAAACCCTTCTAGTTGGTTGTGTACACAAGCGGCTTCTGAACGAGTTGTCCGTGTATACAAACAATTTGGGATGTACACAAAATGTGTACAATTTACGTGTACCAACAGATTTTTCGTACAATATTTACTCAATCTTATCGAATATGGTAAATATTTCAACCTTCCAGGGGGTTACTCTATGAGGTAATTTGTTTGAATCCCGTTTTATCTGTTTTATCAACCAACTCTTTTTACCAAACACTTTATCTTTTTATCAATTAAAATAAATAAGGGGTATTTTGAGTTTGCATCCCAAATTATTGTCTAAATTGGATTTTGCACCCCGTTTTTAAAACTCTTTATTTTTTCACTCCAACCCCATATGAAAAGACAAAAATGCCTCTCCATTAACAACTTTGTTGACCTTCAACATATTCCTGATTGAGGCCAGTTTGTCTTTTCATATGAGGTTGGAATGCAAAAACAAAGATTTTTAAAAACTGGGTGCAAAGTCAATTTACTTTTTTGATGAATTTGTTGAAGACTATTATATACATATATATATTGTATATTTTTTCTTTCTTTTATAATAAAAAGTATATTATAATTTTTAAAAATAATTTATTCATATATAAATCAATAGATTTAGTAATTGTAACTATCACCAATTGTCGGGTTCAATCAATATCATGAAACGGGCAATATGAGAAAAGTACGAGATGAATGTTCCGATCTCAATTACTCCTTCCTTATAATAAAAAATCCCGCTCTCCTTTTCAACCGTAATTAAGTAATCTTTTCATGTGTAAATATGAAAATGAAAATACACATTTTTTTATTTTACCCGCAATAATTGGTTTTGAAATTCTCATCATACCCTCAATATTTTTTTGGACTTATGCTTTATTCCAGCACACTATTCCAACATTCAAACAATAATTCTGTTTTTCATTTCTTATTATCTGGGTTTGAGGACAAAACAGTCTAATGTTTATAACCAATATGAGAAGTTTTAATTACCTGGACCTGCGAGTCCAATGACGCCGGTGGGACTAGTCCTTGCGTGGATAATGAGCAGCTTAAAAGCGGAAGCCGTGGGAATGATCAGGTGGTCAAGGGTCCACTCCAGGGCGTAGAAGCTATGATCACTGTCGTCTAAGGCGAACACCACCAATTGTTTCTGGTCACCCATATTTTTCTATTTTAATTCTCTATCTCGGTGACAAGAATTAATATTTGGATTATAAAGTAATGAAAAAAAAACTGGAGGGATTTTAAAGTAAGTTGGGAGTGAAATATGTTACTCCATATGATTTTTGTGGTTAATGTTCATCACAAGGCCGCCAAGGATGCGGTAACAAGTAATATTGTTTTCAGTTATGGCTTTTCATAATGATTTCTTTTACCATAATTGAAAAATGATTCAAGATGATGCTAAAGCCAAACAATCCACTAGAAGATTTTTACCCGTTGTAAGAATGGCTACGCTATCTAATCGCCAAGTGGTGGAAAAAAGTGATGCCCATTACATAATTTATCATTTCATTGAATGTTGATATGGGATTTATTACATAATTTTATTAGAAACTTTTAGATTTACCCTTTCATTGACGGTTGATATGGGAGTTAAAATAATGTAAACTAATTATTCAAAATTTTGAGATAAGTTTTAACACACAAAAGTGTTCTATTTGTGTAACAACACAATAAAAAACCATATACTGGATGCAAAATGGTACCTGGCATATGATAAGTCCAGCAGATATTATGAATGAACACTGAAATGTAGTTCTTTTACTTTCCTAACGTGATTAAAAACTATTGCAAATAGAAAAAGAACATAGAAAAATATTTAGCAACCTAGTTTTGCTGGTTGAAGTGTCTGTCTCATGTTGGTTGTCGGTTGATAAGAACTAAAGCAATCAACCGACATTATTCTTGATCATAATATACAATAATCGACCAACATATATGGCTTGATCCTCAGGCTTTTAAATATGAAATCAAAATCTTAATAAAGTATCAAAAATTCAGAACCATGGCTATCCACACGCATGATGTGAGACCCTATTAACATAAAAACTGCAGCCTAAACAACATTAAATATATTGACCCATGAGTGGGATGTAGAAAACAGTTGCAGTCTTGCAGAGTCCAAACAAGGTTTGGACCATAAGCGGCGTTCGCCTCTATGAGCAAAAAAGGTTGCATAACCAAGGCCCTGGTTACGTCTTTTGTCCGAGTATCAGGTTAACAATATATGATGGGATTTAAGTAATGACGATATTTATACCCGGAAAAGTTTCATCTTGACTAACTCTTAATAGTTTGATACACATACACTGAAGCATAAAATCTTGATATTTAAGTTTATAGTGGAATCTGATCACCTTATTGTCTGTAAATAGTTTTCGATACATTTTCTCTATGTACATTATAGAAGCAATAATAATAATCTCAAATTTAATCTCAAAATGGTTCATGAATGATCTTGCAGAAAGGCCAATTGCACATGTATGCGTAGAGCAGCATAAAAGGTTCCTATAACCCTGATGATCTCTGGGAGTACTCTTGAACCAAAGCCCCAAACAGTGATGGTCTCTCCATCAGCTTAGTTGGTGCATCATACTCCTTTGCCCACCCTGTAATAGGACACACAATAATAAATATCTGGAAGAAGAATCAAGGTTGGTTTATTTGCTGTTGTTCTCAGATAAATAAATTAAATAATGAGGAAATAAGCGGGGGAGGTCGTTAAAGCAGACCATTTAGTCTTTTTGCACAGTTTAAGATTGAGAGACTCACCATCGTCTATGACTAACACCCTATCGCAGTCTATAACTGTAGGAATTCTGTGAGCAATGGTGATAATGGTACAGTCCAAGAAGTCTTCTCGAATTACTCTCTGGATGACAGCGTCGGTTTGTGAGTCAACTGAAGCTGTTGCTTCATCCATGAAGAGAATTCTGCTGTTCTTTAGCATCACTCTCCCCAAGCATAGGAGCTGCCTTTGCCCCACACTCCAATTATCCCCCGAGTCAGCCACTAACCAAATTCCATCAAGCCAATTGGTTCATAACAAGGGATAGTAATAAATCAATAATAACACGGAGTAATGGATTATGACAAATATATGACAGAAAATTGATAAAAATGTGGCTAAATATGAGATGACTTTTAATATTTTGCAATAACTGTAGTAACCACGGTGTAGTTCAAATTACACTGCCCTGATCATCATGTATTTCACAGTGGTTATTGGGACCATGCAGTCATAGTATTGTCCTATTGTTCTGTTTTGTAGTAATATAGGAAAAACACTAATGATAATAATATGACAGTGGGGGGGGGGGGAGGAGGTAAGATGTACCTGCAGCATCTAGTTGCCCAAGCTTTTCAGCCACTACATCCTTTAATTGGCAACGCTCGAGACACTACACACACCAAAATCATAATAACTTAAATAAAACATAGAGTAGGTTTTGAGTGAGATGCATTTAGGGTGAAATGTATTATACCTTCCATATCTTATCATCAGAGTATAACCCGAGAGGATCAATGTTGCTCCTGACAGTCCCTTCAAAGAGAACAGGCTCCTGAGGGATGATTCCAAAGCGAGACCTGAGATCATGAAGGCCAAGTGTGCATATATCAATTCCATCTATGACTATTCTCCCTCCAGAAGGTTCCACCAGCCTAAAGAAAACTTGAATCAATGTTGACTTCCCACTTCCAGTTCTTCCAACTATACCAATCTTTTCTCCTCGGTGGACGCTGAAGGATATTCCCTTGAGAACTAGAGGTGTGTTATCCCGATACCTGACCTGCTCAAGATTTTACACAGACTTGAGAACTTCCGTTGAAGAAAATATGTAAGATACTTATTTTGCTGTAGAGAAAGAAAAAAAACAAGACTTATGATTGTGGATTTCAGTGTATTACTTTCAAGTCCTTTATCTCTATTTCCCCATGAGTAGGCCAATCTGGGGACGGAAGACAACCTGCAATCCTCCATTTAGCTTCTGATGGGATCTTTATGAACTGCTTTATCCTTTCCACTGAAACCATTTTGTTCTCCATGAAACAGGTCATATAGACACCCCAGAAGAGAACACCATTCAGAGACAGACCATACGATAGAGCCAATCCCACATATTCTGATGGCAAACAAACCCATAAGTCAATTTATTATAACACAAAGAATTAGTGCAAACTTGAGTTGCTGTTTAACACAATTAAGAATGCCACCTGATCCAATAAGAGTGCTTGGCAGCATCACCATGAAAAGGGTAGAAATGCAGAGCAGGACACTTCCAATCAACTCCAAACGGAAGCCTAGCCACTCATTTGATCCATTGTTATGGAAATCCATCCGCAAATTTGCATTCACCCTGTCAACATTTTTCTGGAAGAATTCATCTTCTTTCCCCAAACAACGTATGGTCATAACCCCAGAAACAGTCTCCGAAAAGAAATGGAGAATAGGCGCTTTAGTGATTGAATCAAGTCGGGTTAATTCACGTGATGATGCAATGTAGTAATTCTGCATTAGGATAAACACAAGAATGCAGAGTCAGTTTGATAAGTTAAATTAGTAATACAGTTATCACAGTTTTAGTAGAGCTATAGTTTTAGTAATAATATGTAGGGAGTAGCTATCATAATTTTAGTAGTACTTTAGTTTCCTATTCCTGCCAGACTTAGTTCCACCATTTCTCTATATAAACAGTGTAATAGCCTCAAGAAATGATCAAATTGTAAGTTCAAGGTCATATCAATAAAAGTACTCTTGTCCCGAGATAAATTTTATGTTTTCCTTTTCCGGTCCATCAGATGTTTTTATGTTTCCTTTAAGGAAAGAAACACATGATTCTTATCATTTCACTCATTTCCATGCAAATCTCAATCAGGACATATCTTTTTCATATGTTTTTTTAATATGTGCCAAACCTTATCAGGAACTATATTTCGGGAAGAAGGGACTAAGGGAGTAATAGTTAATTACTTAACAGAATATAAAAATGTCATTTCTTGAAATAGGGATTTAAGAAATGGAAGGAGTGATGAGCATTTGCATTACCCGGTACCAGATATTGAGCCAGATGAGAGGGACCAGGAGGAATATTGTAGGCCAAGCATTCTGGCACATAATAACCAATATGCTAAATATAGTGAAATACATTGCCAGTGCAATACTCATAAACAATGGTATTAGGAAATCGACATTGGCTTGATCAGTTGACATCTGAAATAAAGCATTTGTTCATTAGTTATCCAAATATCATGTGGAGCACGAAAGTGAGCTGAGGAAGAATATAACTCACACGACTTAATATTCTTCCAGAAGGAGTTGTGTCAAAGAAGGACATTGGAGCATGGGATATGCTGTTAACAATCTGAGTGAAAAATCTTTGAGCTGTATTCAAACCCAAAATTGCGGTTGCAAATGATCGGACCGCCACAAGCGCAAAAGAAATTGCTGCTATGATTGCGTAAACATTAATGAAAAGAGATGGTGTAAAAGCATGACTAGAAGAGGTCTCATATGCAAGCCAATAATCACTTGAACTGAGGGATAATTGCCACAGAAATGAGGCTATTACTACTCCTCCTGCTCCCCACCATCCATATGCCTCCGTGCAGTACTGCCGGTAGACATCAAAGCTGACATGGCCAGTTTCTCTCTGCTCATCTTCAATGAGCTTGATGTTACCTTTAGACTCAGATGCGTGGAAAGAACCTTTGGTCTCCATTTGGTCTTCATAATTTTGAGGAGTTTGTGGGGAGTTGTGAGAAACATTCATGCTCATTTCCACGAGCCCCATGGAGTTCTCATGTGCAGCAACAAGAGCTCCGAAATCCAAACCAGATTCAAGAAGCTCCCCGTATTTTCCAGATTGAACGATCTTCCCATCTCGCATCAACTGATTTAGTACAAAAAAGTACAAGCATATTTAACTTATTGTTTCTTCCAAGTATAGGATTCCTTTGTGCAGGATATCTATTAATAAATAAATATCAGTGCCTGTGGACATATTTATCATTGCTTACCAGTATAAGATCAGCATTGTGCAGGAAATCAACTTGGTGAGTTACGAGTAAAATTGTTTTATTTCTTAGAATGCCCTTCACACATTCCTGCAGAAGAAATAGGGTTGCAGCTGTATTACTCGTGTGAAGCTATTTAGACCAATGAAATTCAGGATTTGGTTGGGGTCTCTCAACTACCCATAACATACTTGGCCAAACTAATATTTCAGTACAATGTCATATTAATTCCCTTTAATAGTTTAATTTTCTAATATAAGAATAAGAATACAGGACAAATCAGGCCAAAACCGGCTCTGATACTACGATGAAGTTCAATATTGAGTTGGGATTGCTCAACTAGCTATAAGACACTTGCATCAATCCACAATAAAGGAGAATTCAGTCTTTTAGCTAGTTCAACTTAAGATCATATTAAGGCATCATTTTCGCTTGTGGAATTGGCAGAGAAATAGAGTAGGTCAAAACTAGCTCTGGAACCATGAATTTACAATTGGTTGAAGACTTGAGGTCACTCAACTAGTCACAAAACACTGGAGCCAAATCAACCTAAAAATTGAATTTAATCTGTTGGCTAGTTTAACACAAGGTCGTATTAACTCATCATTCTCTCTGGTTTTCTGAAATGGGACTCAAGCACAGACCCACATAGTTTCTGAACTCCTCCCCATTTCATTTCAGAATAATATTATGCAGGAAGATCCTATGGAACAAGCTATACCACGTATGTTGAAATCTTGAGAGCTATGGCTATCCCATTAAATTAGATGCTTTTGAAAATTGCTAATGTAATGCACAATTCCATATAACTAATAACTATAGCACAAAAAATAAAAAATAAAACAGTTTCTATATCATCAAGCAATCATGAAAACCTGCCTTAAATATCTCAGATCCAGTTTGAGCATCAACAGCACTAAATATGTCATCAAGGAAATAAATATCACTATCCTGATACACTGCTCTTGCTAATTGTATCCTTTGCTTCTGACCACCACTGAGGTTGATTCCGCGTTCTCCTATCTCAGTTTGGTCACCATGTTCCATAATTTCCATATCTTTCTCCAAGGAGCAAACTCTTATCACATGTTTGTATCTGTCCATGTCCATTGGCGAGCCAAACAATATGTTTTCTTGAATAGTCGCATTCTGAATCCATGCTGTTTGGGCCACATAAGACGTAGTTCCACAAACTCTGACCTAATGAAAGAGAGTAAATATATATGATTGGTGTGTCAAGAAAATTAGAGGAGTGTTTGAAATTACGAGAAGGGCAGTCTAAAGTTCATACCTTTCCGGAAGATTTTTGAAGTTCACCAAGAACTGAAGCTAACAAGGAAGACTTTCCTGATCCAACAGTCCCAACAATCGCAACAAGTTCTCCCTTTCTGACTTCAAAGTTTATGTCTTTCAGGGCATTGTGCTTTCCTTCATCATCCCACGAAAAGTGCCCTCCTTTGACCTCAACTGCAATGGCACCATTACAACCCTCATCTCTTTCCACTGACTTAGAGTCCAGTTCATGGCTTGTCAGATAGTCATCCAGTCTCTTCAGAGACGTAATGAATTGAGAAAGGTAGACTAAACATTGAGGAAAGGTCCGGATAGGTTCTTGTAAGATTTTCAAGACAGTTATTGTCGTGAACGCTGTCCCGGCATCAAGAGGGACTTTCATCCAAATTGCTACGGCAAAAGTAAGAAGTGAAATGAAATTTGGAATACTCCATAGTACAGAAAAGTTGAGAAAAAGCAAATACATGACTTTACTAAGCCAGCCGAACTCCACTCCACGAAGAGATTCTATTTTCTTCCTGAAGTGCTCTTCCCACGCTTGAAACTTGATGACACGCATGTTGTTCAGCAGCTCATTTATAGCTTTCATTCTCTTATCGCGGATCTCCATCAGTTCGAACTGAAACACATTGCTCATACGCGAAATAACCAAAGTGAAGATAATCACCACAAGGATTGTGAACAGTGATGCGAGGACTGGAACACCTATATAGAGATATAGGAGGAACAAGGCGGCCACCAGTTGGATTGGCATCATCCATAAGGCATGTAGCTGTGGCATCATGTCCGCGAGCAGCTGGGAGTCAACTCCCATATAGTTCACAATCTGTCCCACACCATGTGCCTGTCTGGAGGAGCAAGACATCCTGAGCCCTTTCTTGAACAGGTTAGTGATGAGGGAGGATCTGATCAGCATCCCAAGTTTTGCAGAATGGAAGTTAAAATGATGTGAACTCAATACTTCAACCACTTTTGCAATCAGGAGGGTCAGCACTAGAAGGTACCCCTCAGAGGGGTTGCTTCTATCCCCGGAGCTAAAACTGATAAAACTGTTAATTAGCATAGGGCCAACATACATGACAGCCAACCGTATAACAGCAAGAAAACCAGTGAAAGCAATCTGCTTCCAGAAGCAACGGATTAGCGCTTTCAGCACAGGGTGGTTCATGTTCTCTCCTTCCTTTGGCCAGTTCCTCTCAAAGAGTTCTCCCATTCTTTCTGCACGAAATTCAGGTGGAAGAGAAGGAACATCTTTCATTGTTAAAGGGGATTGGTATCCCTTTCCCAGTAATGGATTCATCCAATTCCAGGAAGCTCTCGACAGCAACGACGCCGTGGCATAACCACTCACATTAGGATCCCCCACAATAACATCAGCCTTTTCCCCGGCCACATTTATTCCAGTACATCCCCTAATTGAGACAACCAAGAGATAAACATACAAAGGGAAGCTAGCCAAGAAGGACAAATCATCCACTCTCAGTCTAGGATCCTCTATACCAACATCAGACACCATGCGAATAACAGAAACAGCAGAAAACAAACATATAACTATGAAATTTGCAGCCCAGTAGGCTCGAAGGGACACAGGGTGATAAACAACTCCTAATTTCTTCAAGTGTACAACCAGAACAAGAACAAGGAGGTGAGCCACAACATGTAATGATGTGAACACGGTCTCTATCAAATCCCATGATGAATGGATACCCTTGGACACTGTGAATGAGAAAAGGGCAGTATAACCTAAGACTAAGAGACCTGTCACAGTCAAAGATACATAGAACCAGTGGTTGACTCTGAAATGAGCCCTATCTGGTTCAAGAAAAGGTTTATTAATAGAGGAGTTGGAAGTAGCTCCGCGGGTCAGCTTATGGCCTAGCTTTTGGATTGCTAGAACTACTACCCCTGATATGAAGAGCAGATCAATCGAGGAAGACAGAACCCTCTGGGAGCATGGTGACAGAAAAATGAATTTTAACCAATTGATAACAGTTGAGATGAAAGATGAACTGTCTGAAGATTGGAAGACGGGAGCAGCACAGTCCAGAGATGTGAGCCATGGAGAAGAAGACATGATTGACTTTCAACTTTCAAGCCAGTCTCTTTTCCTGCAGAATGGAAGAAAAGACCAGAGAGAAGTCAAGATAATGGTACTGGAAAAACATCATACAATGCATGCCCAGTACTGAAGAAAGAATTGCATGTTCAAATACCTGGATATGAATGAATTCCAATTCACATCAAAATAGGATGGTGGCAGCCGGCAACCTGAAGAGAAAGAACCATTTAGGAAAATGGAAATTCATTACTCCGACCAAATGTTGCCCAGTGCTGAATTATTATAGGAGTAGTAAAGTCTAAAATACTCTGTCCCATTCGGCCCTTCGTTTTCAAAATTGATTTGTCGTAAAAGAATTCTTTCTTTCTGGCACAGACATTAATCATATAGAGGGAGTACTATATGCAATATTGGGAACCAATCACTTTCTCAGTCAATGCCGTCTACAACTGGCCTGCAATAAAGCATTTGACATTTAAGGAAGACTTAAATTGCCTTTTCCAAATACTCTAGTTTATTTTTACTGCCGCCATAATGGTCCGTCCATTATAATGGTTCGTCCACGTCCATGAAAAATAGAAATTGTTCTAGATAAAAATAATCTAAAATATACAAATAGGAACACTACATTTTTAACCATCCTAAGGGTTGGTTTGTAACTCATTTTAAAAAAGCACTTCTCATCTTTTGGCTTTAAAAAAACACTTATTTTCCCAAACACTACCATTTTTATTTTTCTCGGCTTTCGCGCCAAAAGTGCTTTTACTTTTTTCTATTACACAAAAAACACTTATTTTACCAAACACTACCCACTTTTATTTTTCAAAATCACTTTTTTCTCAAACACTATCAACTTTTATTTAATCACTTCTCCCCATTTTTTTAGAAAAGGCACTTTTTTAAAAGCAGAAGCTGTTGCAAACAGACCTTAAATAGGACTAAACAACTCATTCCTACCAAAAATGACCCTAAGGGTATAATTCAAAATAAAATAATAAAAAATCGTAATTTTTTTAAAGAAACATACAAAAATAATAATAAAAACTTAAAAATATTTTTAAAATAAAAAATTATGAAATATTTTTATTATTATTTTTTTTTAAAAAAAAACTTATAGTAAAAATTCATTAAAAAAATTAAAAAAAATATGGATATCTTTCCCACCGGCTCCCAACACCACCACCTTCGATCGTTAAAAATTCTGCAACTTTTTATAAAAAAAAATCCTTTTTTCCCGAAAATGCAAAGAAAATGACATTATTACTCTACATAATGTCAAATTCTTGTTGAATCTCATTATTATGGCATTACTACAATTGTTGGCAGATTTTTTTTAAAATAAATTAATAAAAAATAGTAAAAACCCATCAAAAAAATGGATAACTCTGATCGATGAAAATTCTGGCATTATTGTAAAAAAAAATGCCATTGTTTTGAACCGGCATTATTAAAAATATTGGCAATTTTTAATGCCAAAATTCTCATTTATTCTGCCATTATTATGGCATTATTAAAAATGTTGGCAAATTTTCAACCGGTGATGAGAGCGGATGGTGCTGGGGTGGCAGAGGTGGCGGCGTTTTTTTTTACATTTTTATTTCTTTTTCAATTTTATTGTTTATGAATATTTTATAATTTTTTAATACTTTTGATGTATTTTTATTATTTTTTACGTTTTTTTTATTATTTTATTATTAATTAAGACATTTCAAAAGCCTCAGGGGTATATTTGTTCAAATACACATAAATAGTCCTGTGGGAGGAATAGAAAATATGTAATCCTATTTGTATTCTTGGGTCACTTTTTTTTATCCATTTAGGGAATTAACTCAATGAAAAAATGAGTACTCCCTCCTTGCAGTGTAATTTTCTACAAACTTTTTTTGGGATCGTCTTACTTTTTCATTTTAGCCGGACCTATTTATAATCCGTGTTTTTGACTTATCACATACTTAGTGACTTAACGTAAACTTTTCGTTTTACGCACTAAATTATGTAATAATCAAAATCAGTATAATTAAATAATTTTGTTGATGAATTATGAGTAAATTAATTTCACTTTATTAATAGAGAAAGCATTGTATCAAAAATAGCTAAAATAAACTATTATTCAAATTTGAGCAAATTTAGCGAACTTTATTGTTTTTAAATGGCCTCTTAAATCTTAATTACTAAAAGCGTGAATCTCTGTTTTCATTATATCAATCTTACTACGTATTAGTTAACTTTTTAATGAAATACCTAACTTTTATAGCTAGAATACATATTTCAATTACTATTCAATATTCATAATCACCGTGAAAAACTAAAATGGCATATAATCTCTCTAATCCATAATCATACGGAGCATGGTTATGGAATATGTTAAATTCCCACACCGGAAACTTGTGAAGGAATAAAGTGCTATATTAAAACATGAACTACTCCTCCTATCAGGTTAACATTTTAGGATGGAACCTCCAAATCGGTTCATGGTGTGGGTCCCCTTATGAAAAATGACAATATGAAAAAAATGAATGACGGCACGATCACAACGAAGTGTCTGGTCATGAGGAGGGGTGTTAAATTCCCACATCGGAAACTTGTGAAGGAATAAAGTGCTATATTAAGACATGAGCTACTCCTCCTATCAGGTTGAACTTTTAGGATGGAACCTCAGATTTAAGAATAAATTTTCAATGGATAACCAATAAAGAGTAAGCTCACATGGCTTAGAACTCCACAAAAATGCTAAGTACCCATTTGATAATACTTAAATTTGCCGAATCTATTAAAATTGAGTGATATTCAAGTCGAAGTTTTTAAATTGATTAAATTTAGTGAATTGTGGAAAAAATTAAAGTCTCTTTATCAATAAAATAAGAAAAATAAAGAAATAGACAAAATAGTCATTTTCAGCCCATTCAACAACAAAAGAGCTTTAATCTTATCTATATATTATACATTTAGAGGTCACATTGACACGTGTCATTCTTACATTTATCATTGCCATGTGTCAGTTTTTTATCTATTCTTCACCACCTAGCTAGCTCGGACTGTTCTCATTAGTGTATTCAAGGTGTTCTTATTTCTCATTTATGTTCATGCACTAAGTTTGGAAAGTATATTATACTCCATAGTACTTTAATATGTATTCTGTAAGCAAATTGGCTGCATCACCGAATTATTATTACTCATAATAATTACTCCGTATTACTTATAACCAAAATTACTCCGTATTACTTATAACCAAAATTACTCCGTAATTACTCCGTATTACTTATAACCAAAATTCTGTAAGGCAATGTTTGTTTAAAAATTGCATGATTGTCTCCATTTTTAATACTTAAGGCAATGATTGCCAAAATTACTCCATATTTTTACTCCATACTTTTCATACATAGATTATTATAATAATTATTCCGTATTAATGTTCATATATATATTTAGAAAGTTGATCAACTCACATGAGTCACTACGTACTACATATATAGGTTCCGTTTTAATATAAGAAGTATATATAATCTATATATTATATATTATAAGTAATATATACATAAGTCACTACGTGTAATATATTATAAATTTATAATTATTATTCCTGAAAACTTAGGTATATTACATATACGGTGTACTATTGCGCTCCAATAACTTAATTTAATATATCTATTTAATATGTTTTTACTTTTTATGTTTTATATTTTTTTACATTTTCAATTTATTTTTTAAATTTTCTGATTTTTATTTTTTATTTTAATTTTTTCTTTGACTTATTTACCTATTTTTACATTTATACTACTTTATATTATTATTACATTATTTTTCAAATTGGTATGAACTTTTATAAGATTTATGAATACTCCTCGCTCATTTATTTATTTTTGTAAAATAATCTACCATAGCATGTCAAAATGACTTGATACATTTAAAAAGTAATCATACTTCTATGATGCCTTTTTAGTAAATGGATTTAAGTGATATTTTTGAATAGTAGAAGGATCTATTTGACATTTTCCACAAAAAAATATAAAGCGTGATTAAACCATCTTTCTTTACCATTTTTTTTGAAAACAATTGCATTTTATTTCCTCTTCATGTCTCAATATTAGTGGGACAGAGGTACGTAGGTATTAGAATATAAGCTTGCTAAAAATTGAACAGGATAAAATATGTCAATTCCACTATTATTTTTGTCTGGTATGAATTTTTGTGATGCTAAGATAATGCAAGTGTTGAAATAATGCCAATGTTGGAAAATTTAAAAGGTTTAATTTGTTTTTTTTGGAAAAAAGAAGATTTTTATTGAATAAAGATTTTGAGAAAAATGTGAGAAAGAAAAGAAAACAGAACAGAGAACAATAGAAAATAAAAGGCATAGCTTGGGCGCTTGGCCAAAGGAAATGATTTAGACTGTGATCAAGTTATCATGTTGTGCCACCATTTATTCTTCTGAGGTTTCCGATAAATCTTGAGTTGTGTATTTAGATTCTCTGTGGACAGGCAGTTTTTCACAGTAATGAATTGGAATTTATGGCAAATTCCTCTATTCAACTTAGAGTCTCAAATGTCTTCCTGATTGGAAATAGGAAGGCAGTGGTGAGTCATATAATTTTAAAACATATACACATCATATGCATTGCTTTGAAATAATATTCTCTGAGGTGAGTCACATCATTTTAAAACAATATTGTCCATATAGTACAAAATATCACACTAATGGTTAAATGACAAATTGACATATGAATAGCATATTATGAAATATTATTGTGAATTTAGCGAGAGAACATTCTCTCTCATAAACAACATTAAAAGTAAAAAAAAGAATTGAGCGAGAGAACTTTCTCTCTCATAAACAGTTCTTTTAAGTATAAGATAAACCTGCTAACAATTGAGCGGAATAATTTTCTTTGTCATATATTATGTAGTCTTTTTAGGTATAAGATAAGCTGCCTAACAATTGAGTTGAGACATTTTCTATCTCATATGTAGTACTTTTAGGTTTAGAATATAAGTTTGCTTATAATTGAGTGGAAAATTTATGTCTCTAATATGTGGTCCTTTATGGTATAAGAAGATAAGATAAGCCGACTAACAATTAAGCTGCCTAACAATTGAGTTGAGACATTTTCTATCTCATATGTAGTACTTTTAGGTATTATTAGATGATAAGTTTGCTAACAATTGAGCTTGATAATTTTCTCTCTCATATGTAGTGATCTTAGGTATAAGAAGATAATTCGGCTAACAATTGAGCGGGATAATTTTCTCTATCACATGTAGTGGTTTTACTGTTTTAGGTATAAGAAGATAAGAAAATAAGCTTTCTAACAATTGAGTGACAAAAATTTCTCTCTCATATGTAGTTCTTTTAAGTATATGATGATGATGATGATGATAATCTGGCTAACAATTGAGCAAAAAAAAATCTTTCTCATGTGGCTTATACTTTATGGGGGTGTTTGGAACTGATTCTAATTCTGCTTCTTTTTTAAAGCAGAATCAGAATCAGTTTTCAGAAGTTGGTACCTCCCAGCTTCTAAAAAAAATTGATTCTGCGAGTAAATTAGAGAACTAGAAGTGATTCTGGAATTTCACCCAAACACTCCAGCTTCTGCTTCTGCTCCCTGAAGGAGCAGAATCAGTTTTGAGAATCAGATCCAAACACCCCCTATGATATTAGCTAGCTTATTGTACTCTTATTTTTCGAAAATGAAGAATCATAAAAAGTTATTTTTATTATAGTATTTAATTAGATCATGAGTAAAAATATATGCATCATTTGCTATTTCCCGTGCGTATGCACGGGTAGTATACTAGCATTGGTATAAACAAAGAATCACTCTTTGTACTGAATTGGCTAACAATAATTCAGAGGGAGAATTTTGTCTCACATATGTAGTGCTTAACGTATAAGAAGAATTTGTTAATAGTTGAGGACAAAAATCTTCTCTCTCATGTGTAGTGCTTTTAGGTATTAGATAAAAGATAAACTTGCTTACAATTATTTTCAAAAAAAGCTTGCTTACAATTGAGCGGAAAACTTTCTCTCATATATGTAGTTCTTTTATGTGTAAGATAAGTCGGCTAACAATTAAGCGGTAGAATTATCTCTCTTACGTAATGCTTTGAGATATAAGATAATTCGGCTAACAATTGTGCGAAAGAATTTTCTCTCATATGCAGTTCTTTAAGGTATAAAGTAAACTGGCTAATAATTGAGTAGGACATGCAATTTTCTCTCTCATAGGTTAGCAATAACTTAACTAATGATTAGCATGTTCTTATTTAACTAATATTCGTTAATTTTAATATTTATTGTATCCACTTAAACTCATTCACTTATTATACTCACTTTATTAGAATAATATTTAATTTTAAAATTAAATAACCATTAAAATTAGTAGGTAACAAATTCTAAAAAGTAATTTTTATTGTATGGCTTATACTTTATGATATTAGATTATTAGCTAGCTTATTGTACTCTTATTTTTTGAAAATGAAGAATCATAAAAAGTTATTTTTATTATAATATTTAATTAGATCATGAGTAAAAATATATGCATCATTTTCTATTTCCCGTGTGTATGCACGGGTAGTATACTAGCATTGTTATAAACAAAGAATCGCTCTTTATACTGAATTTAAGAGAAATTGTCAAATTAATACGTGTAGTTAAAGTTTATTTTGAGTTCAAGTAGATTTACTTTACCAATATTTTATACGAGTAATAGTTCTGATCAACCGTGCAATTGTGCCAATTGTACATTATAAGGTATTTCAAAATTGTAGATAGCAATCACAATACAGAATATGTTTTTTGTAAACAAAAAAATATCATCCGCAATTTATATGACAAAATAAGCGTGTTTATATGTCAAAAATTTTATATTAATAAACTTATCCTGAAAGTTTTATTCTCCCGTGCATCGCACGGGTAGAATACTAGTATACTCTGATTATTGAGCAAACACTTCATCGCTCCAAATATATAAAAAACTAAGTATTGGATTGAAAACACTACGATACCTGAAAATAGAGATTAACAAAGACCTCTTAAGCAAAAGAAATAAAAAAAACGTCAATAGCAAATATATTTTTCAAAATACACGTCAAAAGAAATAAAATACGTTAAATCTAAAAAGATATGGGGTAAATAGTATTCTCTCCATGTCACTGAGTTTTGTCCTTTTTTTGCTTATGTAAAAAAAATTTGTCACTTTTCTAATAAAGCAACTAATTTGTTGTTATGCTCATTTCTCTCTCTCATGTAAAATCTCAACCACACAATTCAAACTTTTCTTATTTCTCACCTAATCTAAAATTTAAAAAATCCATTGAGATGAAGGTAATGCCTAAGACCATTTGTAGTGGTGCAGACTACTGCAGAGTCTAAAAAGTTAAAAATGCATTGAGATGAATGTAGGAAATAGAAAGTGATTTGTTATTAAAAAAATGTAAAAATGTAAGAGTAAAAAGTGAAGGTATAGAGATATTTTGATAGAAAAAACTTACTAAAAACAGAAAGAGGGACAAATAATAAAAACATTCCAAATCAGAATAAGGGACCACTAATAAAAATGGAGGGAGTATAATTTTAAAAATGGATAGATATGAAAACAGTTTTGAGACTCCATCAATACTGTATTTCCTTGCATTCCAACACCCTCAATAAAATACATTCATCATATTTTTTACTCATCAATTTAGTAAAACATTAATTAAATTGGCATACATAATGTTTTCTTTTTAATTTTTTCCCAGGATAATTATGAAATAAAAAACACACACTTTGATGTAAAAACTATATATAAATTTCATTATTTTTTTAACGCTTTTTGGTAAACAAAAATGAACTGAGTTCAAGTAATTGTTGCTCTAAATTAAAAATGAAACGCGTTCAAGTAATTTATTGCTCTAATCTCCGAAATTTATTGTTATATATGTATCTCAAAAAAATAAAAAAATCGCTAATTTTTTAACTTATTTCATTTTTAATAAAAAATAAAAAACGAGTTCATGTCATATTCGGTTGTTTTTGGAGGCTTCACGAATTTAAAATTTGTGTTTCGTGTCTATTTGGGACCAAGAAGCCTCCAAAAGTTAAAATTTCATACTATGTATATTTTTTTACGCTGTTTATATGTAAAATTGGTGTCATATAAAAGATCGTAAAAATTTATGAATTTTGATATATTTTTTGAAAAAATTGGAGAGCGGATAAAAAAGTCAGTCTCTCCATCCCGCAAAATTGTTCTCACTTTTCTTTTTGGATTGTACGAAAAAATCATTTGCATTTCTCTTTTAGGAAGGTTTTATGTGGCTAAATTACACTTTTCTTAGTCAATAATAATTATACATTTTCAATTTATTCTCACTTTCTTAAATTGTGGTTGAAGTCAAAATGAATACTATTTTACGGGATAGAGTCATAGAGACCATAGAGAACTCTAGAAAACTTTGGGGTATTGACACAAGGATGACGTCAATATGATATCATTCACTTGTAATAATACTCGGTAATAATAGCGGAAGTACAGTACATGCTTTGTAAATTGTACGTGAGTAATAATAGCAAGGGGACACGAAAGGATACTAGGACCCAAATCGCAAGCAGTATAATACATGCAGGAGAGTAAATGACAGAAAAGAGCGTGTTTCTTGCGGGTGTTTCCAAAAGACGTAGGTTTGAGTACTACAGGTACTCTTTTCTGTGCACAAATCTCAATCACACTGTTTTTACTTTATATATTCTCATATCAATCAAACTTGATAAAATTTTAAGGAAAAGTATAACGCAACCAACTATTGGAAAACTACCAACACAACGCATTAACCGCGGTCTAACAAGGATACTACGGAAGTACGGAGTAGGGGTGGGATCGGGATGATCCCGACCCCGATTGCCCAAATCCCGATCTCGTCCCGATCTCAAGTCAAACTACAAGAGGATCCCGTATCCCGTCCCGATTGAATTGGGATCCCGATCGGGAATCCCGCTAAATCCCGACAATGAAGTATCAAACATAAAATTATGTATTTTCTTTAGTTAAACACTAACTTTAATATTTAATGGTTTCAAAATTATTCTTTGTTCATTGTTATACCATATTTATCATCATCTACTTATAAAATTTATTGTAATAATTATCATCACAAATTCACACTAGTACATACTTTTAGAATAATTTTTATTTGTAACTTCAATTAATTAATAGTATAATTTTTGAATAAGCTATCAAGGCTTAGTGAAATTTACTTCAAACATTATATAAAAATCACTAAAAGAATGATGTGTAACGTATACTAGTATTATTTAAAATTCAAAACTAAGTAGACGCATTCATAAACTTTGTGACCAATTAATATAATGTATAAATACATATTATGATTATTGACTAAAGAAAAAAATCTTAGTCTCGATCATGATTTTTAAAGGATTCATCAAAACCGCAAAATTTGTAATATTGTTTTGATTTAGATTGTCAGGATCAAGAATAATCTCTATTTAGTTAAGATCCCGAAGATTCATTTTGGGACAAATGCCGAATAGTTTTAAAAGTTTGATATTGTAAGATACTCGTAGTAAAAGATTAATCTATGTAAGGAATAAGTAATTAAAAAAGATATGAAATTATTTAGATACATATTCATTTTTTATATATTCATATATAATTCTATACATGTATATATGAAATTCTATACTCGTAGTAAAAGATTAATCTATGAAAAATTCCCGACTAGTCGGGATCGGGATTGTCGGGATCGGGATCGGGATCGGGGGTCGGGAGTCGGGAGTTTTTTCCCAGCCCTACTACGGAGTATAACTTTTCACTTAAAATTGTTATGTAAAAGAGTTAAAGAAATCATAAGCTGCAAATAAACCATCCCTCATGACTCATGAGTGTGGCCAACAGGCCAAACCACTAAGAAAACTATAGATTTTGCAAACAAAACTTGCAACATAAAAAATAAATAGAATGATCCACAATATATCCCTTATGCACCCCCAACGTCCATTCAGAAAACCAGAAGCGCGACAGTCCCGTATAACATGGTTTAGATCGTCCTAAGCCAATTGAAGGGAGGTGATCAGATCAGAGGACTCCAAAGAAGGGATTATTGATAGCACTGTCCAACTCAGAACCAGCAGAGCGAAGCACAGCCATGTCCACCTTATCTCTTGGAAGAAACAAGAACTCCCCACCTTCAATTTTTTCAAATCCAAGAAGCTCAAGGAACACCACGCCCCCCTTCAGTTTTCCAACTCTTTCCTGTTTAACATTATAACAAGAACAGTTCAATTTCAAACAGGTCATTTTTAGTGTAGCCTAAAGGGTCCATTTCATGAGGCTAATAATGATTGAAATATGACTGATTTTGTTTAGTGAAGCTGAAATAGATGAATGAAAAGAGTTACCTGAAATGATATTTGAAAAAGCAATTAAATTAACAGTGAATATCTAAAAGGTGAATGCAAGTGTCTTTTGCTCTTCATTACAGCCAAATATATTATTAACACGTCTCACCCATGCAATCAGATGAGTGAGTGTGGTTTAAAATCTGAGTGATCAAGATGATAAGCCAGATAAAATGACCTTACAAATGAGCACACAATAGAACAACTTCATGATTATTGTCTCAGCTTATCAAAGAATCTACATTTCTGGTCTCTAGTTTCGCCTTCATTATTAGCTTATGAAGTCATCATTCAAAAAATATTGCTAAAACAGTGGCTGTCAAAATAAAATAAATTAAACAACTACTTGCAGAGGTACTCAAGGGGCAAATCACCCTATGTGTTCATGAGTGAGAAATTCCAACATTTTTCTACATACCATTGTCGTGCTGCCTTGTCAATTGAGGTTTAATATATTATTAGTCCATGCTTGACATTTCTTGTGTTTTGACAAAAAATACATTGACAAAAATTACACAGCCTATTCTTTGACATCTGGATATTTAGGAGACATTTTAACAAGGCAAAACATCTATTTTCCGGTTCAAGCTCATGTAGTAATAAATGAATAGTAAAACATTACATAAAACAAAAATACTCCACTTGCTTCTTATTTTTATTCTGACCTGGATTTTAGGATTATTGAGTCTAATTTTCCGGAACTTCTCATCATTTGGATTTGTTGCGACATTCTTGGCAAAAGTGAGCAGTGTGTTGAATGCCGTCTTCACTTTGGCCTCATCGTCCTTGTGCACAAAAGAGAATTAAATAAAGCCATATATATGATTATAACTGAAACAAAGATGTGTACCTCTACATCCAACAAGATAACCAAGTAAGAAATAATGTACTCCCTCCATCCCCTTAAAAAGTCCTCTTTCAGAAGCCTTTTCATTCCAAAAGTTTTACATGAACTAGCAAAAAGAAATATAAATTCATGACTTTGAACATGTTTACCTTGCTGAGATTAAAATGTTGTATGATCAACGCAGAATTCTTGTTATTCTTATTGATAGGGAAACAACTACATAAAAGAAAATGCAAAAGAAGCACGAACCCCGCATCACCAATTTCACTTTCATAGATCTCTCTCTCTCTCTCAATACAATGTTGCCTGACTCTTAATGGCCAAAGGCACAAGTCAGGAGACAGCACATCACCACTTGACAGGTTCCTATGGAATGCCCTATGCGGCTATGCAATTGTTTTGCAGGATTTATGTGTCAAAACTACCATGTTAATGTGGTAACTATTACCTTGTGGTTCTGTTTGAGAATACGTAAACACTCCCTCATTTGCTCTATCTTTGTAGCTGGTCTAACAGGCAGTGAGCTCTACACCAAAATTTGCAAACCGATATGGTATTTTAGTTTCCACAAGAATATGACTCTGGGAAGAAAATCAACAATTTTATTACACATATATAACCTTCTTTTCTTCCACCACTGGTGCAGAAGGTTTTGGAGTAGGATCTTCAGCAGGGAGACCAAGCTTGCGCCGCCTTTCAGCCTGTTCAATTACAAAAAAAATCAACAAAAGAGCAACTATAAAGAGCCAGGATAACTTAATAGTCAAGGAAAGGTATAAAATGAAGAAAGAGCTTTTCCAATAAAACACAATCACAAAGATTTAAAGAGTCTGGTGTCATAGTGTGCTTGGTACTTGGTAGTATCAGAACTGAGAAAATAATGGTCATTAACACCAAAATATGTCAAGAAAAGAGTCTTGCTGACTTGAACATATTATTTGCCTTTGAGTCAAAACAGTTTTCACATTAAACATTAAAGTAAACAACCATAACATATGCACACAAACCTTATCCTCTTCCAGCTTTTGACGAATTTTCTCTCGAGCTCTTCTCTCTTCATCTTTCTCTGCTTTCCGTAAAGCTATCAACCTGCAAGGGCAATGTAGAGTAAGAAAATAATCAAACGTGAAAGCAAAGTAAATCAAAGGAAACTAAAATCCGGAGTACTAGACTAACCGTTTTCTTTCATTTTCTTCCTCAATCCGCTTAGCTTCAAGAAGTTCCTTACCAATACGGATTCTTTCCTGAAGTCATGTGGAAAATAATTTGGGTCACATGCTATAAATTTAGGGACGCTAGCTAAAGAAAAAATGGAATGTGATTTAAAATTTAAATAGTACATAGACAATACCAACTCTAGAAGTAAAAAGGCAGATTTGTGATGGTATGGTACCTAAATTAAAATAAGATATACCTTTTCTCTCTCCCTTTCCCTTTGTTTCTCTTCCTCTTCTTTCTTTTTACGAGCACGCTCCCTATGAATAATCATCAACCAGAAATGTATATAAATGTCACTAGCTCTATAACTGACATATGGTTTACACAGCAGATGAAAATCTTAAGATAGCAACAAAGACAGACTTGTGGTAAAAGAGGTTTATGATCCATCAGGCATTTCAGTAACTTATGGCAGGGCACTAACCAAGCAACTAATTAATGGCAGGACAGTTAATGAGAAGTAATCGAGGGACCAAAAAGACAACTTTCCCAAGAAACTCTTATAAATCAGTTATCCACTTATATTGTTTTCAATGTACCTTTGGTTTAAGAGAAAAATAATTAAAATACCCCAAACTTTGAAGGGGTGTGAGATAAACACCCCAAACTTTCATATGTAATTTAAATACCCCAAACTTTATATGAAAAGTTATTTTAACACCATGATCATGTATTATATCTTTCAAAAAATGTAAATTTATGGTGTTAATTGCATAATTTAAAATAGCAAAGTGAAAGCGTTGCAATTATATTGAGTGGAGGATAATACTATTTATTTTACAATGGAAGTTTACAAATGTTAATTGTATCTTCATGAATGCTAAAATATTGTAAATTATGAAATTAACACAAAAAATTAGCATTCTTGAAAGAAATAATAAAAGATCATGGTTCTAAAACAACTTTTTATATAAAGTTTAGGGTATTTAAATTACATATGCAAGTTTGGGGTGCTTACCTCACACCCCTTCAAAGTTTGGGGTATTTTAATTATTTTTCCCTTGGTTTAACTAGATTAATCATATTCATGTGGTTTAGCCCTTTTCTGTTAAATTAAAAGACATATCAGTCAGTCAGTCTTATTTGTTGAAACTTGAAACATAGCTGCATTGCAGAACAAAAGGCAAAATTAATATAAGGCTCTTTTTTGTAAAGAGGGAGTAATAGATTTTACTTCTGAGTGCTGACTTGAGAAATATAAAATACAAAAAATATATCTACTATATAGGTCCAAAAAGTTGTAGTTTCTTGGGAGCAAGGATTTAGATCATTAGGGTACAATATTGACCATTTGTTCTGTGGCAAGTAAAATCAGTAAGCATGTTAAAAAAATCTGTTTGTGCGCAGTTTGCAAAAACTTATGAGGAAAGTTAGTATGAAGAATTAGATCCTTGACTTGATGTTATTGTCTTTAACTCAGACGCAAGAAGATCACATGGTTGTTAATATATGCAGCACAAATATAAAGTCTATTGCATTTACTACTGAAACTACTTCAGGAATCAGGTGCATAAGAGATTGAGAAGTTAGGGAATAGAATTAAACACTATTGTTATAATATTTAATAGTGTTGCCCCTACATCATGAATGTTACCACTCGTACTTACATATACAAGTCTCTAGTTGTAAAACAAGAATATAAAAGTAACTTAAGTTCATTACTTATGAGATTGTTTATCAAAGTAAGCATTATGAATAAAATCAGAAACAAAACAAAATCCAAAGCCTACCTTAACTCTTGTTGCTTCATTTTTATCTCCTCTGGAGTCAGGGATGGCTTGGGAGGCTCAGCATTCTTGGAACTGACAGGGACCTATAGAAATTAGAAAATTCAATGAGACACTTGCCACCAATTACCATATCACTAATAATATATTTAGGCTGTAAGAAATAAAGAATAAAGCATCAATGGACAAATATAGAAAAAATCTAACTCCAGCCAAACAGGAAAGAACAGAATAAACAAGTAACATTATTAAATGACCCTTGTGGTGGGACCCTCAGCATGCGAGGATGCCAATGTGTACCAGGCTGCCCTTTTCTATTATTAAAAAGAGATCAACAACTATATCAATAAGTACTTTAGGTAAATACAATTACTACATCCGCCCCACTAAATTTGGCCAAATTTCTTTTTTTGGTTGTCCTAGAAACATTGTCACTTTACGACTAAAGTAACTATTTTGTGGTTAACTTTATTTCTTTCTCCTTTGCACAAACCTGAAACACAGAATATCTACTTTCTTATTTGTATGAGCCAGTAAAACTTGGCAAAGTTTTAATGTGGAGGGAGTATTAAATGATCTTAAAGCAATGCAAGTGAAAGAAACAAGAAGGCACCATTCTATGCTCAGGGGTTTCGCTTAGGTAACCCTGTGCTCTTCTAGGCATATATATCAATGAAATGGTTGAATTGAATTTCTAAGTGATGAATGCGGAATACCAGAGGCATTTCATCTACATCTGCGTCACTTTCATGTTCTACGACCCAATTCACAGCAGCCTCGAGGCTAGCATTGCCTGAAAATGGTTACAGAGTAAATGCGCATCAGATTCTGTAGAGTGAACTAAATTACTAAAGAGTAATTATTTACACGTGCAAAAACTTGAATGATTTAATAATAATAATAATAATACACATACCCATAGAATGGTACATCTTGAGTTTGCAAATGAAGATTAGAACAAAAGCACAAAAAATGTATGTGGCAACAAACACTTCAGTTTCTTCATAACAATTGTCTTGCATATCTGTTTCTCTTTTAGATATCTGATATGATTCTGCACCGAATACTTTTTCGTTTTGTGGTGATTTTGTGTTTTCTCTTGCATAAGATTTCAATTGTTGTTGAAAGAAGCATGTTTGCGTGGTTTTACTTTTTTTAATGCAAATGACTTTCTTCATGAAAAAAACAGTTCAGATGTAATGCCTTACCAGAATAATGGAGTGCTCGGGTTGCCCTTGCCTTAGGAAATCCCATTGTTTCTAGTTCAGTGAGTAGGTTTTGGTCAACTTCAGGAACAACCATTTCTAACAAATGAAAGCAAAGTGGAAACGTAAGGACTTTACCAGCTAGATCCAATTCAGTAGCCAGTATATGTTCAAAACAGAAAAGCAAATTCAGTGAGAACCAGGGGTAATGAGATTGTTATCAGGAACTCACTACTCAGATAGGTCCAAATATGGATCTTTTAGTGAGAACATTTAGATGCATAGCCAGAAAGTATACACAGCATACTTCTAAAAACGATATTAACTACAGATTACAGATAAACCAAAAGAAAAGTTTTTCATTCCTATTTTAAACAATGCAGAATTATTCCTTTTTTTGCAAAGGAATGCAAACTTTACTTGTGAGTCCATAATAGAACCAAGAGCACGTTTGATACCTTCATGCTGGCTACTGCTACTTCCATCACCCGCCCCGCTCATCTCAACATCATCATCAATCTTAGGCTTTAGTGGCTCCAAGCTGATGGGTTTTAAGGCTTCTGCAGTCTTGTCGTGAAACTCACTGTGCCCAGTTCTCTTGGTATGCAAATCGGTCTCCTTTAATAATTCATGAAAAAACATCCATAAGTAACACAACCCAACTAAAATACACTGGAATTGAAGTAGATTATTTTTGGCAAAATTCTTTTTCATAACTAAAGAATTGAACCGTAATTGATTGAACGAATTGAGCATACTAGTATTTTTAATAAAAACAAATACGGAGTAATTTTTTGTGCCGTCAGCGATTAGTGACAAATAGTGCGATGTTGAAGTTCTCTTGTTGAAATTGGACAGAGTATGCATGTGTGTGTGAGGTATGATTGTTGATTGCCATAAAGGCTTACGGTTTTGGAGCGGCAGGGTTTGCCGCAGGAGGTGCAAACGAGTTGGAGAATGGCTTCTGTGGACTCGCTGAAGTTAGTGTGTTTGGTGAGCTCGGCGTGCTCTTGCGCTTCTTCTACCGATTTGAGTAGCGTCCCACAGTCCCCGCACTTGAGTGATACGCCCGCCATTGTTGCAGCTCAACTCAGACTCAATTGATCCAACCCAATTTTCCAATCGATCGACGATCAATCTCAGAAAATATATATTCACGGTTTTTTTTCCAAGTTTTTGTTGGTCTGTCTCCCGTCTCCCACAATCCAATGTAGTCAGAAGTCGGAACAATGAAAGACAGAGAGACTTCAGAACAATGAAAGGAGTAGGCATGGCAATGGGTCGGGGCGGGGCAGGTACGACAAGACCCAGACCCGCCGGTGACTTGGCGGGGCGGGTCCGCCCCGCCCCGTGACCTGCATGGGTCCAAACTTGTTGACCCATGACCCGCTCCATACGGGCGGGTCCGCCCCGCCTCACCCCGTCGTAACCTAATTAGTTAGTATGTATTTTTAATTGTGGAAAGTTGTTACCAATTGAATCTACATAAAGTTTATCTCTAAATAATAATTAAAAATTAATATATTAAATCAAATTCATAATACGCTAAATTTTTCAAAAATTAAGGAAAAATTATTCAGACTTGAATAATTAATCTATTTAATTATATTAATCATTGAATATATGTATTAAAATGCTATATATAAAGAAGACATTGATAATCCATCGTTCATCTCATTCTACTATATATTAATACTAGTATCTTTACCCGTGCCGTGCACGGGTTAAAATGATTTTGCTTTTGATTTTACTAATGGAAAATCACTAATTTAGTCGATTATAACGTAGATTTATAATGCATACTCTAATTTATCGAGTAGCCTTATTTTTTAAGTAATTATCTAAATATGTTTGCACTCTATATTTTTCAATGGAAATAACATTTTTTGTGACTCTACATTGAAACGAAATTAATCTTTTTAAATATATTTTCCTAAACAAAAAAGAAAATGCTTAATTAATGTCTATTTTCCCACTAAATTTCAGTTGTGGCTTCCCATTTTTTTGACAACTAACTACACATTTTTGTAATTTACTTATCTAAAAGTGAGTGTAGTCAATTGTTTAAGTTATCAGTCCTTCTAGGTTTTAGAATTTTGTAAATTAGCCCTTCAATCGCTTTCTAAGATTTATTTTCATAGATTTATTTTGCAAATTAGAGTAACTTGGAAATTTATTTGGGAAATTTTGCGAATTTATTTAGCCTCAACTTTTCTTAGATTTATTTTACAAACTTTGCAAATTTATGGCTTCAATGGTATTAAGATTCATTTTCTCAATTAGATCGTTATCAAGAAATTAGTTTAGAAGTTATTTGTATAATTTATGTAGTCCATTTTTGAATTTTAATACCAAATCATGTGTCTCAAATTTGGTTATAAATAAAAACTTACTGATAAATATTATTAAAATATGAATGACTAACTAATAGTTTAATTATGTATGCATGTCTCACTTCCTCTAATTATGATTAACTACATAATAAGCTAATTAACTTCAAAGTTTACTCATGAATAGCTTTCAGGAGATTTATGGAATTCTAATCTAATATGAGGTTCTAAATTTTAGGGAGGAATCAATTACAAATGTTTTTAATTGGACTGATTTTTTTCCTTATTTGTCTATTCTGATCGAATCTGGTCTGATTTGATTTGATTTGATTTAATTGATCTGCTTAGGTCATATTATCTGGGCATTTTTAGCTCTTTTTTCCAAACAAATTTACCTCATTCAACTAATAGTTTAGGCGTAACATTTCAAAATTTAGCTACAGACAATAGTCTTTAGTTCAGCAATAACTTTTAAGTTAGACATTAGCCTCCACCTACAACTCGAAATGCTAAACATAGTCTTAACCTATGAGCCCGTTTGGCAACCCTCGTTCTCAACTTATTACCCAAGTTTTTATACTAAAAACATAGTTTTGACTTCAAATGCTGAATTGAGAAATTGTCAAAATAATTCAAGATGGGGTAATTTTTTTGGCTAAATCTAATGAAGTTGGGATATTTTTAATTAGACTGAAACCTTCTGGTCTTAACTGGTCTATTCTAATTTGGTAAATGTCTGGTCCCTGTATATTTTATAATTGTCCAAGTCTTATCTGATCAGAGTTGGTCTAGTCTGGGACTAAAAATAGTTCAAGTAAAGTTATTCTTGTCGTAGAGCACCATTTTAGCTATTTTCGTGTCATTTTTTCTTAAATTTATTAATGAAATACATTTTAAATATAATTTTTCAATAATTCAGGCATTCAACTAATGCAGGCACTTCATCCAGAATTTCATAATTTCAACAGATTTATCTGATTCAGTCAATTTCAATGTTAACAAACGGGCCTATGTATCCAAATAGGGAATTGCTTTATGTGCTCCTAGAATTGCTATACCTAACTCATGTAAGACAATTTAATCCCTTATAATTTTCTTTTACTAAAAGTGCTTCTTGTCACATTCTAACAACCTCAAACATTTTTTTAATACCTCAAACATTTTTTTAATTTTTTGAGGTGCTCATGAAAAGTTGTGCATTTAAAGTAATTTTTAACTTCTTAACGTTATTTAAATTTAAGTTTTTTAAAAAGTTCTTTTTGTTAAATATATTGTGTTCTTACTTAGTTCTATTTCACCATTATCTCGCGAATTTTAAGATAAAACAATTAATATTAATATATTCTGAAATGGGAAAAAACAAAAAATAAGACTTTAAAACTGCGACATTTGTTTTACCTTTGAAATACATTTACCTTAAATGAATTAGTTAATTTATAATAGCTTTTTAGTACTCATGATATTATACCGTATCATATTACAAAGAATTCTCAAAATATCATTTTTCACTTCTTCAAATGATAAAAAATAATAATGTTAAATAAATCTAAAAAGCATTAATATATGCTTAAACAAAAAAAAACAGTCTAATAAAAAACATCGTTATTACTCTATATTGTGTCCTGAAATTAGAATGCATAGAATGTTTCGGGAGATTTGTTCTAATCTACGGAGTAATATGGAGTTCTAAAGATTAGGGAGGATTCCTTGTTTTGAATTGAACTGAAATATTATGCTCTGGTGTCATTTGATTTAATCTTATGTGATTTGATTTAATCTTATCTGGTTAAGTCATATTATCAGGGCATTTTTAGTTCTTTTTTTCAAACAGATTTACCTCATTCAAGTAACATTCAGCACCAGACAATAGTTTTGAGTTCACACAATAAGCCTTAATTCAAATATTAGCTTCCACCTACATATCCAAGTGTCAAACATAATCCCAATATATGAGTCCTTGTTTTCAGCTTATCGACAAATGTTTTTACCGATTGTGTTGTTTTAACTTCGCGCGCTGAATTGAGAAATAATCAAATTAATTCAGGTTGGAGTAATTCTCTGGTGTGTTCGATTAAAATTTATCAAGTGTTCTATGCATTATTTATGTAAAATTTTCTCAATGTCTATAGATGAGACATTATCATACCAGACCAGGTCAGATCAGATCAGACAAAAAAAGTTCAGTTGAATTAAAAACTCTTCAAAGAAGTCCTCCCTAGAATCGAACTCTATATCGGATTAGAATAAATCTCCCGAAATAGTATACACATTCTATACATATAGAGTTCGAAATTTTAGGGAGGACTCCTTTAAAGGTGTTTTAAATTGAACTGAACTTTTTTGTTCTAATCTAATTTGATCCGATCTGACCTGATGTAGTATGATAAATGTCTCATCTATAGACATTGAGAAAATTTTACATAAATAATGCATAGAACTTTGATGAATTTTATTCGTACACACCAATATATCCATAATTCATAATTGTATTTCTAAAATTTTATTTTTATGTAACGAAGAATTTGAAGGATGCTTTAAGAAGTTTTTTTTGGTTACGTAGTATATTGTTTTTAGGATATAGAAATTATGTAGAATTCTAAGATATAGCCTAGTCCTTAATTAACTAACGTAACCTGAAATCATGAATGGATGAATCCTAAACTAACTTAAATTCTAAACCATGTAACATCGTATAATTAATATTAATTAATATACTAAATTAGAAAGAGAGTCTAAAACATCAAAATCAAAATTTGCTTAGAAGATGACACGTGGCATAAAATTTCCATGATTGTATCTTTGAAATGTATTATATATATATATATATATATATATATATATATATATATATATATATATATATATAGGGTAAGGTTCAAGTGAGAAGAACCCTTTGGGTGAGAAATGAGAATGAATCTCAGCCATTGGATTAGACTAAGTTGCAGTAAAAGACACTTCATGATGCACTGAAATATGCAATCTAGCACGGTGGCATTTTTGTAAATACTTATGAAAAATCCGTATTACATGTGTCTAGTGCAACATGAAGCTATTTCGGTGCAACGCCGTCAAATATTAGTGCAACATGAAACAGTTTTAGTGCAACATGTGCAGAATTTAAATATTACTGCAACATAAAGCCAATTTTAGTGCAACTTCGTAAATCCAATGGCTATCCCTTTTTTTTTTAAATATTACACAATCAGGAAGGACTCCATTAAAAGTGTTGTTAATTGGACTATTTTTTTATCTGATTTGTTTGTTCTGATGAGGAAATTTGTTTGGAAAAAAGAGTAAAAACAAATGCCCGGGTAATATGACCAGACCAGATTAGATCATACAGATCGGACCAAATCCAATCAGAACAGACAAATTAGACAAAAAAAACCAGTCCAATTAAAAACGATTTTAATAGAGTTCTTAATAAAATTTAGAACTCCATATATATATATATATATATATATTTTAAAAATAGATATTTTATAAAGTGTTAAATTATTTTTCAAAATAGATATATAAAAAGTGTTAAATTATTTTTTTATATTTATATATTCAATATTGGTCTCATATGAAAGATAATAAAAAGTTATAAATTATGGTATATTTTTTGTAACCATCAAAGTACAAATTAAAAAGGTATAACACTTTAAAATAAATATGAGATTTTATTTTTTGAATCACCTAGCTTAAAGAAGTTTTGAAACTTAACGTTAAAGGAGTTCTAATCTACGTTCAATACTTATTAACGGAAGTATAATTTATTTACTAAATTAGGAAAAAATCTAAAATATAAAATTTGCTTAGAAGATGACACATGGCAAAACTTTCTATATCTGTATCTTTCAAATGTATTATCTATAGATATATTAATATATTATAAGATCAAAGCATTTATGATTTATTGTATACACATATGTATGTTGAAGTATATTTGTAGGAAAAAGTATGTATACTT